TTGAGTAAATAAAAATAATGTTCGAAATGAAAAAAAATTTTTAATTAATTAATTTATGGAATTAAAAATGGCTGTCCGACTATCACCAAATCCTTCAAATTTTAATAATACCTCATAATAAAAACCATATTCTAGAGTATGTAGCAAAGAGATGTCTAAAAAAATAATTATTTTTAATTGTAATTAAAGTTTATTAAAGATAATTTTTTTTGTATTTCTGTTTATTCATTAACTGAAATTTTCATTCGTAGTTATTTGTTATTTTTTTAACTAATGAGTCAGTCATTATTTTTTCAAATATATGTAACACAAAACGAATCAATAAATCAACGACTGTCAAAATCATCAAAAGTATTTTATTTTGATACAACAGAATAATTAGTTTTAAACGAATTAAAACAACTAATAATTCGCTAAGCTTTGAACTTAATTGTTAATCATGATATTTTTCAATTAATTTGTGCAGTCGTGTATTAATCAAATACCTTTTCTAACAATTTTAAAAGAATACCTTTGATTAACTCTACACTATATTAAAGGATTCGAACAAAATTTCCTTCATTCATAATTCTGTATTCTTCACTCATGTCCATAAATTAAGGATAATGAAGTTCAGGCAAAGAAAGAGACAGAAACAAAACAAATTTGACGTATTTGTAAAAAGTCTAATTATTAAACAAAAGGTAAAGAGCAAAAAGATGCTATATGTTTGACATAATTAATAAAAATTGCGATTTTTACTCCCTGGAGCAAATTTCAAAAAAGAACCTATTTACAAAAAACAGTATAACATGGTTAGTATGATGGTTAATATGGAGTATGTCTCCCGGACGATGCAATACAGGCCTTACAACGCCTAGGCATACTGAGTATCAAATTGCCAACCTGATCTTGGGAATATTACACCACTCATCAAGCAATGCCCTCCGAAGTTCCGGTTGACAGATGGGAAGGGGTTGACGGACTGCAATTTGTCGGCCAAGCATATCCCACACATGCTCTATTGGATTCAAGTCCGGTGAGTATGCTGGCCAATCCATACGGGTGATATCCTCCAATTGAAGGCATTCGTCTACAATGTTTGCACGGTGAGGACGGGCGTTGTCCTCCATAAACAGAAATTCAGCACCCATGGCGCACCGAAACAAACGTACATGTTGTTCCAGAATGACATCCCGATAGATGTGGCCTGTCATCGTTACACTCTGAACATGCAGGTCAGTTCTGGAACCAAGAATAATTCCTCCCAAACGAGCCATCCTGCACCACCGTAACGGTGTCGTTCAATGGTGTTCTCTTGGTGGTAACGGGTACCTGGCGCTCTCCGTATGAAAGTCTGGCGAGAATCAGACTGCAAAACTAAACCTGGACTCGTCGGAAAACATCCCACCAGACCACTGTTGCCTTGAAACTGTCGTACCGCTAGCTGAAGAGAGCTGACGAGACAGGTCTGATGCTGTGCTCCGTCTGTTTCTTTTGGCAGTAACTGCTAAATACCGGTCCTCATTAGGCGTTGTAACTCGGGGGCGACCTGTGCTGTAACATCTACTCACATTACCATCATCTTGGAAGCGTTGCCAAAGCCTGGAGATGACACTGGGTGATTCCAAGTTCCTCGATACTGGGTACGTCCACATTCCAGTCGTCCGATAATTCTGCCACTTAAAAATCACCCAAATGCTTTGTTTGCGCCATAACTATGCGGTTATTGCACTGAAAGGCTTTTAAATCGTTTGTGAACATTTTTACTTCTTTGCCACCATTCTTTATATACCCCCTCTCTTACAATCTCGTCATTGTGACGTACTCATCCGCGCCATCTGGTGGTTTCCTGTAATTTGCATATTCTTCTTCAAGATGTGTGTGATAATTCTACAGGTGAAATTTTTATTTTAGAGTTCAATTTCTGTGTGATTCTGAATTATCCTTAATTTATGGACATGAGTGTACTCTTACACATTACTAATTATTCTTAAACCTTGATATCCGGTTTGAACGGTCCGGTATCTTCGACAAGAAAATAGTTCTTACATTTTTCTGCGCTAAAGCTCAAATCAAATCCTTGTTTTCTTTTTTGGTATTAAAGCCCAAGCCAAAAGCGGCTTTCCTTAAAATTAATTATTTTTATTGGAATTAAATTTTATTAAATATACTTTTATTGTATCTCTGTCATTTCTGTTTATTTATTAATTAAAATTACCGCTTTTTGTTTGTTGTTAAGAAATTTTTTAACTACTGAGTCAGTCATTATTCTTTCAAATGCATGTAACACAAAACAAATCAATTAATCAACGACTGTCAAAATCCTCAAAAGTATTTATTTTGATACCACAGAATAATTAATTTTAAACGAAATAAAAACAATTAATAATAATTCGCTGAGCTCTGAACTTACTACTGTTAATCATGACATTTTCAATTGCTTATGCAATCGTGTATTAATCAAATACCTTTTCTAACAACTTCAAAGGAATACCTTGGTAACTCTACTCTCAGTTGAAGATTGAAACAAAATTTTCTTCTTTCATAATTCTGTATTTTAGTCTAGACATTATTAATTATTCTTAAACCTGATATCCGGTTTGGCAAGACAATACTTGGACAAGGAAACAGTTCTTGCATTTTTATGTGCTAAATCAAATCCATGCTTTCTTTTAGGTATTAAAGCCCAAGTCAAAAGCGGCCTTCATTTCAGTGAATACATACACCTACACCTCTGTAATCCACCATTAAACATCCATTATTAACAGAATGCTAATGTCGAATTCTATCAGGAAGTGTGTAATTCCGGTATCTAATAACAATGCGTTTCCCGTGATATAAACAAGGGTAGCTCGTGCTTGCATCGGAATACAATGCATCCGAAGGAGCAGGAATAACTCGCGTATTAAATTAATTTAATGAAACGGAGATTCATTTATCACTATGGTAACGAAGAAGACTGAATTAATCATACCTTCAATGCTCCTGGTTGAATTGCAGCTAGCACACGGGATAAAGCGTGGTGACGACGACTTCTCCTATTGGGTAAAGAATAAAGGATGCGTCCTGCCCACAGTGGGAGAGCGGCCGAAAGATTTGTTATCGTGTAGTAGCGGGTCATGTACATTTCTGTTCTGGTTATGAAAGATTACGCAAGCTGCATTTTCATCTAACTAAGTGTTATTACCATGCGAATTCGGATGGAGTAGTTTTAATAGTTTAGATAGTACTACGTGCTTAATTTAAATGCATGCATGTGGTTGTTGTGGTAAATTTTATCACTTTGAAAAATACAAATGTGTTTGAATAATTGACGTGTGTTCATAGATTCGTTTTAAAAGCTCATAGTGGTAATATTACTTTTTTTTATGAATGATTTGAAACATAATGGAAAATTTATTGATTTATCATTTCTTATTCATTCTTTTACTTCATTGCGGGCCTCATTGGCCAATTCAGCTCCAAAGCGCTCTGCCCTTTGGTACAACAGGCTTCAGGTTCGAATCCAGGCGATGACATAGATGTTTGTAGAAAGGTTTGGAATCCACGTTAAAGTGTAGGTTTCGGTCTAAATCATCCAAACTGTGCCTAAAATGACCGCAGAGCAACAAACCAAATCTTCTTCATTGGCGCAGCAACCCCATGAGGGGCAAGATCGTCTGCATTTTAACAGATTCCGAGACAGTTGATGATTTATTTTTACCAGTTAGGATTGTCATCCCAACGCTCTACAGTCATATTAGACTGTCATCTACGATTTAAAGTGGATTTCGAATTATTACAAGCACCCTTGGCACCGTCAAACTGAAACTAGTACTATTTACTATCTACTTTAAATAAGGATAAAAGATCAACATTTTATCAAAACTTACAATTTCTCTTGCTTAACTCTGTCCGAATTAATCTTTAGGTAGATTCACTTTCTTTTTTTCTTCATTGGCGCAACAACCCCATGGTGGCCGAAGGACGTCTGCCTACTGGCAAATCTCGAGATAGGAGATTGTTTCTTTTCACAAGTTAGAGTTATCAGACCTAAGTCAACCGTCTACAATCGTATTAGACAAAAACCTAAGTTTTACGGTCGATTCAGAACTACGGCAAACATCCATGATATTGCCGGGAATCAACCTGAAGCCTGTGGTGCTGAGGATCAGTGATCGCCACTCGGCCATCAAGTCCCAAAATTTTGAAAGCGAACGACAGGGCGGTATTCCCAGATGGTCACCCTCCCAAGCACTGACCGCGCGCCGATGATGATTGACTTCGGTGATCGAACGAGATCCAGTACCATGGTATGTCCGTTGGCCAATGTTCTTTTAATTTTTAAAAGTCCGGGGTAACTATATCACATATTCGGAAAATATAAACTCTTCATATATCTCATCGCCTTTTAAACATTCATTGAAAGCGAACGACAGGCGGTATTCCCAGATGGTCACCCTCCCAAGCACTGACGGCGCCCGATGATGATTGACTTCGATGATCGAGCGAGATCCAGTACCATGGTATGTCCGTTTTGGCCAATGTTCTTTTTAATTTTTAAAAGTCCGGGGTAACTATATCACATATTCGGAAAATATAAACTCTTCATATATCTCATCGCCTTTAAACATTCATTGAAAGCGAACGACAGGCGGTATTCCCAGATGGTCACCCTCCTGGGCACTGACTGCGCCCGATGATGATTGACTTCGATGATCGAGCGAGATCCAGTACCATGGTATGTCCGTTGGCCAATGTTCTTTAATTTTTAAAAGTCGGGGTAACTATATCACATATTCGGAAAAATATAAACTCTTCATATATCTCATCGCCTTTTAAACATTCATTGAAAGCGAACGACAATTCCCAGATGGTCACCCTCCCAAGCACTGACCGCGCCCGATGATGATTGACTTCGATGATCGAGCGAGATTCAAATGTTCTTTAATTTTTAAAAGTTAACTATATCACATATTCGGAAAATATAAACTCCTTCATAATATTTCATCGCCTTTTAAACATTCATTGAAAAGCGAACGACAGGCGGTATTCCCAGATGGTCACCCTCCCAAGCACTGACCGCGCCCGATGATGATTGACTTCGGTGATCGAACGAGATCCAGTACCATGGTATGTCCGTTGGCCAATGTTCTTTTAATTTTTAAAAGTCCGTGGTAACTATATCACATATTCGAAAAATATAAACTCTTCATATATCTCATCGCCTTTAAACATTCATTATTGATAGAATGATAGGATTAATTTTAACAGGAAGCATGTATTTCTAGAGTCTATAACAATAGATCTCTTCTGATATAAATAAGGATAATGTGGATACAATGCACTGGAAAGAACTTAAATAATTGGCGTGTTAAATTAATTATGTGGAGATATATTAATCACTATTGTAACGTAGTCTTAATTTATAATACCTTCAACGCTCTTCACTTCAGTCAGAGAACGATAAATCATGGTGATGAAGGCTTCTCCTATTGGTCAAGAATAAAGGATATGCACTGCCCACAGTGGAGAGTGACTTAAGAGATTTGTTATGATGTTGTAGTGTTATGCATAATTGTATTCTAGTTATAAAAGATTATATAGTTAGGACTTTTATTTAATTAAAGGGTGAAGGTGATATTTCCAAGCGAATTCCTCTGGAGTAGTTTTATTCGTTTAAAGGAGAATATTTCTTTTTATTTCAAATTTTTTAATATATTTTAATAAGTAATTAATATATAAATCAATATATTTTTAATTTACAATTTAATTTTTTTTTAATATATTAATTCTTTTAATTGTATTTTGAAAGCATTTCGTATAAAAATGCTTGAAATAATGGTGTGTCTGTCCTTCAATTGATTTCAAAAGTTTATAATATTGATCATTGTTTTTTTTTTCCTTTTGTTTTTTCAAATACTAAGCATCCGATGCGTTATTAAGTTTTTCGTTATTAACTTTGAAAAATATTTGTATTATTATTTTGATACCACAGAATAATTAATTTTAAACGAATTAAAAACAATTAATAATTCACTAAGCTTTGTACTGAACTGTTGTTAATCATGGCATTTTCAATTAAGTTATGCAGTCATGTATTAATCAAATACCTTTAAATTTCAAAAGAATACCTTTAGTACTCTTCGTTCTATTAAAGGATTCCAACAAAAATTTTCTTCTTTCAATACTCCTGTATTTTATTCTAGACATTATTAATTATTCTTGAATTTGATATCCGGTTTGATAATATAATACCAACAAGGAAACAGTTCTTGCATTTTTCTGCGCTAAAACGGAAATCAAAAACCTTGCTTTCTTTAGGTATTAAATCCCCCAGTCAAAAACTGACTTCAGTGAATGCCCATCTACACCTTTTGTAATCCACCATTAAAGCCTCCATTATTAATAGAATGCTGATGTCGAATCTATCAGAAGTGTGCAATTCCGGTATTCTAATAACAATGCATCTCCCTGTGATATAAATAAGGGATAGTTTCGTGCTTTGAGCGTACAATGCATCGAAGGAGCAGGAATAACTCTCGCATATTAATTTAATGAAACGGAGATGCATTTATCACTATGGTAACGAAGAAGACTGAATTAATCATACCTTCAATGCTCCTGGTTGAGTTGCATCTTAACGCGTGATAAATCGTGGTGACGACGATTTCTCCTGTTGGATAAAAAAGAATAAAAGAGCGCGTCCTGCCCACAGTGGAGAGTGCCTGAAGAGATTTGTTATCATGTAGTAGCAGGTCATGCCCATTTCTGTTCTGATTATGACAGATTATACAAGCTGCTTTTTCATCTAAGTCTTATTGCCCAGCGAATTGGTATGGGGTAAAGTTTTTAATAGTTTAAATAGTAATGCAAGCTTAGTTTAAATATATGTATATGTGGTTAAATTGTGATTATTTTTTTTTAATACTTTCTTAAAAAAATTCAAGCAAAACATTTTTGTATTTCAATTGGTATCAGTTGGTAGATTTTGTTGGTATAATTTCATAATGGCAATATTATTTTTTTATGAATGATTTTGAAACAGAATGGAAATTTTATCAATATTTCTCCTTTAATGTTCTTTTCTTCTTTATTGGCACTACAACCCAATAATGGGGCCAAGGCCATCTGCCAACTGGTAGGAGTTCTTGGCAAGAGATGGTTTCAGCTTTTACGGAGCAGGGTTATAAGCCCTACGTTAAACTTCTAAGGTCATATTAAACCGTAACTTACTATGTAAAATGGATTCCGAATCACTATGAACACCCCTTGGCCCTCGCCGGGCTTTTCGAACTTGTACTGTTGCCGAGTTTCGAACTTTTACTTGTACTGTACCGAAAGTTGTACTGTTCACTATTTACTTATATAGTGGTAAAATAACAACATTTTATCAAAAATGTACAATCTCACTGCTTTAACTCTTTTGCGTTTTATCCTTTTTAGGAAGATTCTTCTTTTCTTCATTGGCGCAACAGCCCCATGGTGGACCAAGGTCGTTTACATTCTGGCAGATTTCGTGACAGGAGAAAATTCCATTTTTTATAAGGTAGAGTTTTCAGCTTACTCTCAACAGTTATGTTAGATTAGGGCCTACGGTTTAAAGTGGATTCCCAACCATTACAAGCATCCATGATGCCGTCAGGATTCGAACCTGAAATTTGTATCGAAACGGAACCAAAAGGTCGTAGAATTGCCCATCATTCCAAATTTTTAGAATAACAACAGCATGCGGTGTTACCAGGTGGTCACCCTCTCGACCCAATACTACCGCCCCAGATGATGATTGACTTCAGGATCGTACGAGAAAACGATATATCTCAAAGCATGGAATTTTATTTTTGATGCAACAGAATAATTAATTTTAAACGAATTAAAAACAATTAATAATTCACTAAGCTTTGTACTGAACTGTTGCTAATCATGGCATTTTCAATTGGTTATGCAGTCATGTATTAATCAAATACCTTTTGAATTTCAAAAGAATACCTTTAGTAATTTTCGTTCTATTAAAGGATTCAAAAAAAATTTTCTTCTTTCATAATTCTGTATTTTTACTCTAGACATTATTAATTATTCTTGAATTTGATATCCGGTTTGACAATATAATACTTCAGACAAGGAAACAGTTCTTGAATTTTTCTGCGCTAAAACTGAAATCAAATACTTGCTTTTCTTTTTCGGTATTAAAGCCCAGTCAAAAACTGACTTCAGTGAATGCCCATCTACACCTTTGCAATCCACCATTCTCCATTATTAATAGAATGCTGATGTCGAATTCTATCAGGAAGTGTGCAATTCCGGTATCTAATAACAATGCATCTCCCGTGATATAAATAAGGGCAGCTTCGTGCTCTGAGCGTACAATGCATCGGAAGGAGCAGGAATAACTCGCGTATTAAATTAATGAAACGGAGATGCATTTATCACTATGGTAACGAAGAAGACTGAATTAATCATACCTTCAATGCTCCTGGTTGAGTTGCATCTAACGAGCGTGATAAATCGTGGTGACGACGACTTCTCCTGCTGGGCAAAGAATAAAGAGCGCGTCCTGCTCACAGTGGGAGAGCGGCCGAAAAGAGATTTGTTATCGTGTAGTAGTGGGTCATGTACATTTCTGTTCTGGTTATGAAAGATTACGCTCGCTGCATTTTCATCTAACTAAGTGTTATTACCCTGAGAATTCAGATGGAGAAGTTTTAAAAGTTTAGATAGTATTACGTGCCTAATTTAAATGCATGCATATCTGGTTAAGTTGAGGTTATTTTTTTAGTACTTTGAAAACAAAATTCCACACAAATGTGTTTGAATAATTAGCTTCTGTCCATAGATTTTGTTTTAAAAAATTTCACAATGGTAATATTACTTTTTTATGAAGGATTTGAAGCATAATGGAAAATTTATTAATATTTCTTATTCAATGCTCTTCTCTTCTTTTTTTGAATCGGCTGCCTGATGGCGCTCTGACCTTCAGTACAACACTCTTCAGATTCGAATCCTGGCGGTGGAATGGATGTTTAGGAGTAGTTCGGAACCCACGTTAAATTGTAGGTGCCGGTCTATTTAACCCAAAAAGGGCACAAAATTATTATACAGCAACAAACCAAACCAAATCTTCTTCTTTGGCCAAGATGGGCCAAGGCCGTCTGACTATTGGCAGAATTCGGGACAGGAGACGGTTTCTTTTTACAGGATAGGTTGTTATCCCTACGCTCTACACTCATATTATACTAGGGCCTTCAATTTAAAGTGGAATCAGAACCACTACAAACATCCATTGCACCGCCAGGATTCAATCCGAAACCTGTGACATCGAGAGCCAGAGCGCTAGTCACTTGGCCATCAGGCACCAAAAATTTGAATGCCAACGGCTTGGCGTGTTCCCAGGTGGTCACAATCCCAAGTACTGATCACATTGATGTTGATTGATGATCAGTGGCGATGATGATTCAGTGATTGATCATGATTCAGTATATACAGCATGAAATGATCGTTGGCCAATGTTTTTAATTTTTTAAAAATCAATTTAAGTATCTCATTTATTAGGTAAATCTAAATTCTTTACCTCACATCCACTTTTAAAACTTCGTTATTAATAGTATGCTACGGCTTAATTCTAAAAGTATGGATTTCTGGTGTTTATAACAATCTATCACTTCTGATATAAATAGGGATAATGTGGATATAATGCATTGGAAAAGAACTGGAATAACTGGCGCGTTAAATTAATTATGTGGAGAAATATTCATCACTATAGTAACAGAGTCTTCATTTATCATATCTTCAATGCTCTTGGCTGTGCTCAACACTTTCGCAGTCAGAGAATGATAAATCATGGCGATGAAGGCTTCTCCCATTGGTCAAGAATAAAGGATGTGTACTGCCCACAGTGGGAGAGTAACTGAATGAAATTTGTTATGATGTTGTATTCAGGTTATCTTGATTGTATTCTGGTTATGAAAGATTATAATGTTGAGACTTTTATTTAACCAAATGTTGAATGTAATATTTCCAAGCGTGCTATTTCCTGGAGTAGTTTTAATCTTTTTAGAAGATAATATATATAATTATTTAAAAAATTTGAATACGTCTTAAAGTTTAGACTTTTTTTAAAATTTATTTTGAAAG